TTTAAGTTTAATTTTCAAAATGAGAGATACAAATACATGTCAATGAAAAAAATGTAGTATTTTCAGAACATAAACTGAAAATTGATACTTTGTGGCATTGAGAGTTTTTCATAAACTTCACGAAAGCTATGCCAATGATAAACTGTAGTCTTGTGAACACTGGTCTCCTGCATTAGAATCATTTATTCTTTAAATTTCCCAGTTAAAATGGTTGATTTGAGAATATTTGCGGTGATATTTTGAAGAGTAAAACATTTTTACACCAGTGCACCCAAACTTCATCGTTAGTCCTGCATTGTTTTATACAATGCTTTGAGCAATTTTTGGGTTTCGATAGTTTTCTCAGCATTTGGAGTTTTACGGAAAGTTACAATAGTAGTTCATCCTTTTTTTGAAATTTGAACACATTTTTCTGTTCAGAAATATATTTCTTCCATAAAACAATTGTTTGATTGATATGATTGATCCTCTCTTTTTAATAGGATGAAAGTGCACACTAAAGTTTACATAAATTAGGTCAGTAGGTTAGGAGTTTATTCCGGACAAATATATATATATGTAGAAATCTGTTCGAAAAGATTCAGTACTTGCATCGGTGTCCATTTTTGGAAATAATTAGCAAATATATTCTTGTCTGTTTGGTTAAAATCGTAAGATCGCTAATTAATTAGAACTTTCCGAATTTAAACCACGCAGTTTTGATCTTCATCCCATTCTTGCTTAATTTGGGGGTTTCTTGCTAATTTTATTTAGACCAATTTTATTTTATATATATTAGCCGTTAGCCGAAAGCCTTTGATGCTAGCGCTGCGTACTTTAGTTTATTTAATAATTTGTTTATTATGTAAGCTTTAATAAAATAAAAAATAAAAATATATATATTAGCTGTTAGTAAAGGTCGTTTTTTTCTTTCCATTGGAGAGCTTTTTATACGCGGCGGATCCCAAGCCCGGCGCACAAACCTAGGGAGGGATATTATTCCTTCTCCCATTTTAATACTGCTCAGAGAACTTTCTTCCTTTGCGTGAACATGGCTCCATCCTACTGACGTGATGCCAAATGGGTTTGGTAGTGAACGAGGGCAAGATGAAATATCTCCTGTCATCAAACAAAAGGTCGTACCGATCGCGATTTGCCTCCCATGTCACTGATGACATTCGTAACTTCGAAGCCGTAAATAATTTCGGAAGCAGAAGAAGACCTTCACTACGTTGGAAAGATCAGGTGGAGAAGGACCTTGGTACACTTGGCATTTCCACTTAGCGTCAAACAGCGAAAAGAAAGAACGACTGGCGCGTTGTTGTAAACTCGGCTATAACCGCGTAAACACTGTCTACGCCATTAAAGAAGAATAAGAAATTATTTTTTTGTTGAGAGGGATTTTCTCTTTACATTTCATGTCTAGTACTTTTGGTATTTAGAAAAAAACTGAAAAATATTTCCAATGTTGTCATTAACGTTCTTCATTTAAACAAAGTAGAAAATCTTAAATAATAAAATTTCTCACAACCATAACCCTTCTTCTAAAGATTTAACTATTAACTATGGCCATCCTAAAGGAGTACAGGGGCATTGTGTAGTATTACTTTCTTTTTTCAGAGCGTTATATAGTCGCTTCCTCTCTCTAAAAGCATGTTATTATATTCATTTGGCGGGACGATTACTGGCTGTAAGAGAATTTACAGATAGAACTTTTGGGGATTTGGTTTGGCCAACCCCGACTACATAACCGAACTTTTCAAGAAAAGTTCGGGAAAGAACGTTCAAAGTAGACATAGAAAAAGATGACTGTGCGGAAATACACCTTACACAGTTAGGCATAAGGCAACCTTTTAAGTTGACGGACCACTGCAGTATATTTCATTTTYGCTATTGTGAAAGCCGTGTAGCTGGCCTCTAATGCACCTGCAGGSTATTCCAGTGCCAGTAGTGTCTTGAGAAGCAGAACAGCAGGAAAACGTGTTGCCAGAAGAAAGTAAATTTTACTTGCCCCAAAAGCATCGAAGGCAATGATATAGTGGACGAGGTTGCCAAGAATGCCTAGCATCCGAAAACAAGATCAACATGGGGAAACCMATGTATTGTCTATATGATGACCTCGACAGAAGCATGGTAAAGAAAATCAAAATCCCATGGAACGACCTACCTGGGTGTAAAGCTGCAAAAGTTACGTGCAGAAGTACACAAAATTCCTACTGGCGCTCGATAGAAGAGAYTGTAGGACTACTTCTCTTGCATTTGGAAAGTGAACCCCATCTTGTATTGGAAGGAACCAAAACTGGTCTATGCGTGGCTTATTATCCTAACTTAGCTTTAYTTATATTTTTGATGAAACCTTATCTATATTTTTAATAAACGAAAAAACATAACAAATTGATAGTTCTCGACAGTATAAAAATTGAAGGTTAGTGGCCTGCCCATTAGTTATATTCAGTTTTGGTTTCGCTGAAATAAAAATAAGTTATCTATAAKCTAAATTAAATAAACTTCATTTCAAAAAAAGCAAAACAAATAAATGTAGATCCAAAAACTTTTCAAAGCTAAAATAAACTTGCTCAAAAAGTAGGTACAATTTTAATAAGACAATTATTTTGAAAAAACAAATTATGATGAAACAGTTTTGTTGCATATTTAACATTACTCAGTTAATATCCAGTATATCCACCATTATTTTGGATTACTTTATTTATTCGTCTRGACATACTACTGATTAAAGTCTGACAGGTTTCTTTAGGTATCTCGTACCAAGTTYTTTGGATGCACTCCCATAACTGATCTTTGTTGGAGAAAGATTGACTCGCCAAATTTTTTTAGTTCTCCCCAAAGATTTTCTATTGGATTGGAATCCTGAAATTTGCTTGGCCATTTAAACCGTTAACATTATTGTTTTCAAAATATTTCTTAACCAGTTTGGAGTTATGTTTAGGGTCATTATTTTACTGATATAACCCATTTAATGGTAAGTTTCCTTCAGCATAGGGTATCATGACATTTACAAGTATTCCCTTGTACTCCGAAGCTGCCATTTTTTTGTTGTACTGTATATAGTACCTACTCCATACAAAAAAAAAA